GATGGTATTCTTATTGTTGTCGTTTGTCTTCTTGTTTTCTCTCGTTGCGGTGCTTCTCTGTTTTCTTGTTTATAGACTCACTTTATTGGCTTTTTCTTAGTTTGCACTCGTCAAACAACAAACGCCTTGTTGTCATTTCTTTGGCCACACCTTTGGGGAGCTCCTCTCCCTTTTTCAATCGATCTGTAATTGAATTCTAACAGTAAAAGAGAAAACAGAAACAAAGAAATAGAATAAAAGGAAGCAGAAACACGGATAACAGGAGCAGAGGTAACAGAGACAAACGTAGCGGAAACGAAGATAACGGAAACACAGATAGCAGAAACACAGAATACAGAAGAAAAGTGAAAAAACGAACGCAGAAACACTGATAGCAAAGAAAACTGAAACAGAGATAACAGAAACAAAGGGAACAGCAGAGGAACAGGCTATTAGCCGGTAAATCGAGGACAACTGAACAGACATATGCACAAACGAATGCAAACAAACAAATAAAAACAGAAAAACAAGCAAAAAAAACAAACAAGCAGGCAAACGAAAACAAACCAACCAAACTAGCTGATGAACTAATAAACAGACAAACGAACACACAGAAAAGGAACACATAATCAGCCAAGCAAACAAATAAACAGCGAAAAACAAGCAAACAAGCGAACGGGAGATTAAACAAACAGCGAAATAACATCAGCAAAGTGACGGCGAGCAAACGACGGATTCAATCGAAGTCAAAAAGAAGCAAATCGAGGGAGAGAACAACCTGTAGAGGGAAATGATGATATTCTGCAGAAGGGGTACGCCACATACAGCAACGTAGTGCATGCAAGTAACCCCAGAAGACTCTACATATAATATTTAACACCAATAGGGTGTCCTAGACAGAGGAGTACGCGTAACAACAGCAGCCCCTAGGAAGAAACAGTGCCTTAACCGAGTATATGCAACTGTTGCAATGTGCACAGGAGTGCGGTGAGGGTAGGGTCTCAGATGCGTTCATTCTTATTCATATTTCTGTAAGGGCCCATGGCTACCCAATTATGCGCCAGAGAGGAAGTACGCAACAATAAGAGCTAGATGATCTGAAAACGGAGTTTGGGACCGCTGCTACGAAGACTGAACACGGAACCCTCAACCTTACACAACAAAACGGCAATAGACAACAGGCATATCCATCTGGTAAAACAAGACGGTTCGCTTCGAATGAGAAAAAGAAATCAAACATTAGAACGCACGGTGTGGTCTCTCCCTCTCGATATATATATATATATAT